ACTCTTTCTATTTGTGCACTCTCCTCAGGGCTTGAGTAAGTGCAGGCGAATGATAGTGAGTGACCCTGATCACATTGACTTCCCGACCATCCACTGGACTACTATACTGGCTCGAGTAGCACCCTTGTTCGCTTTTATATCCAGGTTCTGTTAGGAGCGGGAAATTGCGACCCTGCTGTGTGTATGGCAAAGATCAGCTTATCCGAACAGTTGGCAACTGTCTTAGTCACGAATTTTAGGGGAAGTTCGCGCTCAGTCCATAAGACAGAGTAAAATTCACTGTAGCCCAATGACTGACAGAGCTTTCGCCCCTTCTCTTACTTAGAATGCGGTGATTGCCAGTTGAGAAACTAGCACATGCGGGACTCTTGAGGTTAGTCACTGCGTCTACTCGCATTTTCAGTCATACTAACTTACAGTATACAGTCTATTACAGAATGTGTTACCGGAACTTTTGAAATGCACTTTCGATTAGAAAGTATGACGAAAGTGAGGCTGTTAGCTGGACTATCGTGCGGCGTGTTAGTCACTTTATAAATGTGTTTCCCCATCAAAAGCGTAAAAACATTATATTCGGAAAAACTATCTACTTAAATAGCATCATTTTTCTGTTGACTTGGATGCGAAAGGTTCATGTCAAGCCTCCTTCCTCTAGATGGAAGTAAGCGTATACTAAAGTACATGGATGCACAATAAAATGGGCTTCAATGAGGTTCAATTAAATAAAATCGGCAATTTGAATGTTGCTATTCTGTAGCGCACATCGGATAATACTCGTGGCCCTAAGCCTCGTTTGTTGAAAAATTCCGTTATGGCACTCACGCCATCCGCATCGGTTGACCCACTATAAAGTCCGAACCCCGCCTTTTTTGACAATACTTGATTCAGGAGCAATGCTGTTTAGAATGAACCGCCACTGGGGGTCCTGTTTTCAGCCAGCTTCTGGTAGGGGCAAAATGTAGGCTCACATAGAGTAGATAGCATTGTCGGGAAAGACGAGGGAGACTGGAATGACTCCTTCTGGTTCATTAGACGTTATTATAAATTAATACTCAACCACAAGCGTTGCACAACCGAGGCTCGAACCCGCGAGCCTCCAAC